AGGGCAGGTTTGATTTAGCAGGATATGGGGCACGGGGGCTCTGGCAGCATCACCATGCAGCTGGGTGCCAGTTTGCTCCATGTACTGCATCCTGCCTGCTCCTCACAGTGCTCTGGGCAAAGCCATGCCAGAGTCCTGCCAAGCCTCACAGCCCTGGTGTGAGCGCCCAGGGGTGCTGCTGAGCTCCTCAATTGGCAGCTCCACTGATCCCAAATTCCTGGCCTCAGGGGGAGGGAGCTGTGTCCAGTCCTTTCCTTCTCAGTGCTGATCTGTTACTGCCTGCCTGGTCTGCACCCTAATTACTGCAGCAGTGCATGGAAACCAGGGCCGTGTTTTTCAAGCCCGGTTGTTTATTTAAGCTGTTTAAAAAGCTACTTTCCTTCCCTAGAATCCTGAGAAAATGATCCATGTGTTTCTTTTGAGAACAGGATGAAAGGAGATTGCCAGGGCCCTCCATCCAGCCCCTGCTCATTGGATCCCCAAAGTCCCCAGCAGGGCTGTGGTGTGGGGCTGACCACAGGGAGCCGTGTCCAGCGCTGACCCCACACCCCTAATCAGGCCATCAAGCCCCAGCTTCAGCCTTGGGACAGTGACCCAGCCCTGTGGGATACTGCTGGCCCCTGGGCTTGGTCCTTCCCTGAGTTGCAGGGAGTCCAGAGCTTGACAGGAATGAGCTTGTTTTCAGCTTGCTTTTAGGAAAAAAAAAAAAATCCACTGACAAAAAGGAAGCCTAATTTTCCACAGGCTTTTTGGCTGCATGGGCAGGGCTGAGTGCCCAGGGCTGTGGGCACAGAAGTGTGGCAGTCTCTGCCCCTGAACTGCCCATCCCTGGCCTGGGGCTAATAACACCCACTCCTGGCACTGCTGGTGCCATGGGCACCCACGGGTGCCTCGGGCTCACTCTGTCCCTGATGCTATTTGGGTTTATTTCAGAGCCTGGCCAGCAGGGCCACACGCCTGAGCAGTTCCCGATGCGCTTGAAGCCTCTTGAGCAGGTAATTGTAATTCCTCAGCAACCCAGCTTGGCTTATTTTGGCCCCAGCATAGTTTTGCATCCTGAGGCCCAGCTGGGTAATTTATAGCTCTGTCAGAAAAAGGATAAAATCAGCACAGGGTTTCTGGGCACTGTGCAAATCTATGGCCCTGTGTGCTGGGGCCAGGAGTGCCCTTGGTGGGATGCTCAGGGATGTGTGGGTAGTGCTGGGACCAGGCCTGGCAGGGAGAGGGATTTTATAGCTTGTGGTGCAGTAACTGGCCCCTTGGCTCAGTCTGGTTGGCTGAGTCCCTTTTGTGCACTGCATCAGCCCTGGGTATCAACACCTTGGGGCAGTTTTCAATAAAAGGTTTTTGCCCACATCCCCTGTTCCTGAGGGCCAGGGTTACAGACATTTCCACTGAATGCTGTGGGCCATGGGCCCCTGGCCTGCCTGGAGGCTCTGCCTGGGGGTGTGGGGCAGGGACAGCCCCAGGGCTCAGAGCAGGGGGGACAGGCTGCTCGCAGGGGGTGTCTCCAGCACATGGGGACGAGCAGCAGCTCATCCTGATGCAGATTCCCTGGTGATGCTGGCCTACAGCTGTGCCTCTCCACTGGGCTTGGATGGGGAGCTGGCAGAGTTGCCACTGCCCTGGCCACACTCCTGTCAGGGAGGTGACCAAGTCACAGCACAGCAGAGGGACCTGCCCTGGGGCTGTCCTTGCTGAGGCACACTCCTCACTGGCACAGAATGGTGTTACACTCTTTAGAGCCCCCCAGCCTGCTCCCCCTTCGCCCAACCCTTGCACTCAGGGGTTGCAAAATCCCCACTTTAACCAGAGTTTTTCTGGTCTTCCTGCAGGCGTAGTTACAAATTACCCTGCAAGCAAGCCAGCCCACCTGCCACCTCAGTGCCAGGAGTGGTGTCACCAGCTGGATGTGAGCAGGGAAGGGACATTGCCCACCCTCCATGTGTTCCACAGCTGCCCTCCCCTTTCTGGAAAACACTTAACCAACTCATCGGGAAACCTGCTGTGTGATTTGGGGCAAAATGCAGCTCAGTGGCTGTTTAAAAAACAGCCAAACTCTTTGATTTGGACAGAAGATGTGCCCTGGAGATGGCCTGAGGTGCCCAGCGTGGGCAGGCACTGTGATCTCTGGGCTGGGCTGGCTTCACTAGATGGCAGCAGCTTCTTCCAAACGGGCAGCACAGTGACAGCCCAGGCAGGGAGGGAGACAGACCCGAAATGGGCTTCGTGCTCCTCTGGGGTATTGTGTCATGGCAGGAAAGCCAGGGTTTCATTTCCTTCTTGATGTTTTTGAAGGAAATGCTCTCCCCTGGGACCTGACGTGGCTGCTTGATCCAGCTGCACCCTGGATACCGGGAACAGGGGATCCCCGTTGCCTTCAAGCCTCACCATCACCTGGAGATGCTCGTGTGACACCACATTTTACACATGAATTATCCCGTGCATCCCTAAAGCATCCGATGCTTTTCCTAAATCCCCAGCTCTTGGAGCGGTGTGAGGGTTCTTACCACACTCGATTTTAAAATATACATTTTATATGTTCCCGGCTTCCTGGGGGCCAGGGAGGAGCTGCAGGCAGAGCTCAGGAGCACAGAGCAGAGCTGTCAGACGGGCCGTCAGTGTTTCCTTCCCGGACACACGCTGGGTTATTGTGGGATCCGGCAGACACAGGCGCTGCTGACTCCAGAGCGAGAACATGCAACTGGCTGCCTGGCGCCTGTCCGAGACATTTGTGTTAATCAGTGATTATGCAAATAAACAGCTCTGCCACGCTCCCAGCCCCGCCGAGCGGCGTGGAGCATATGTTCCTCGTGGCGAGCAAGTGTCGCCTGCAGGAGCTCAAAGCTCCTCCTTCCCAGAGTGGGAGCTGCTGTGAAAAGCAGATTAAAGGCAGCCCGTGGCCGGTGGGGGAAGGCAGGAGCCCCTCGAGGCCCCCCAGACCTCCCCTGCCACCTCTCCCCTTTCCCCATGTGGCTTGAATTACTGCGGCTGTTTGCTTAATCCATCAGCCTTAGGAATGAGCCACTCAGTGCTTTCTTGGCCTCCCCATCCTGCAAAGTGCTGTAAACATAACAAGGCGGGCTTGTTCCAAGGCCCTGAAGTCAATAAGCATCCTCTTGCCCTTTGGGCCTGGGTTGGTGCTAAATATAACCCAGGGTGCTTTCCATTCATAAAATGTGAATTATGGCCTGGCCTCTGAGGGAGGGTGGAGGAGCCTGTGGGCTCCTGATGCAGGCAGCAACCAAAAGGCTTCACCCCGTCCTTTCACCACCCTCCAGCTCTTCACTGAATAATTGGGGGAGGAAATGCTTTTGGGGGAAATATGGAGGATCCTCTGTTTGGGTTGATTAAAGTGTTTTCTTGCATCTCAGCCTCAGGTGCATCAGGGCTGGGGTGGATTTGCTGGGAGGTGAGTGCAGGGGATGGTAAGTGTGGGCTGATGGCGTGGCCCAAGCAGCAGCAGCAGCAGCAGCAGCAGCAGCGCAGGGGGAGTCCCCACACCTGTGTAAATGTGAGCATTTTCCAGAAATGGGAGCTGTAGAGTCTTGTACCACTGCTCCCACCAGCTAATGAGCACATTAGGACTTTGCCACCTGCTCAAGGAACTTGCTTTTGAATCCCTTGTGGATCTCCATGTGACCACCCTTCTGTCCTCCACCAGCCCATGGCTATTGGCATGTGCTGTAATATTCTCCCAATTTTTCCACAGCACCTCCAGATGCAGATATATGTCTGCCAACAGCTTTTTACCCTCAGTGGAGTTCCTGTTTTGAGGAAAAAGCAACCCCATCTCCTGGTGCAGTTTAGGGAGGCGCTGTTCCCAGGGAAGCCCTGGAGTAGGATGCTGGGGACTCAAGCTCTTGTGTTCCTGTGAGAGTCAGGGACAGGTACAAGCTGTGGATGGACGAGGCCAAGACTCCAGGCATGCCTGAGCATCTCCCTGCTGGGTGGTGAGGCTGTATATCCTCTGCAGCCCCAAATTCAGCACCTGGAGCCACAGTGTGGCACACAAGGCTGAGGATGGACTGCATGCAGGGCAGTGCTGCATCTGAGACATTCCAGATCACAGAAAACACGGAGGTAATCCTGGGGTGCTGCAGGTCATGGGGGGCTGTGCTTCCCCTGCTCTCCTGCCCACTGCCCCAAGGTCAGGGTGGGTTCACTACCACTGTAGTCTGGCTGCTGGGTTGTTCCAAAGCCCAGCTCAGGACTGCCAAACCAGGGAGTTTTCAGGTACACCATGGGCCTTTGGATGCCACTGAGATCTAAATAAAGTCTTTTAAGACCCACTCTGCAAAATGCTTGTGTCCAGCTCCAGGAAACCTGGCTGCTTTTTATGGCATCTAAATCAGCAGTTTCTTGCTGATGCCAGCACTGCATTTCTGCGTGTGTCTAATTGTGTAAAACAACAGAGCTTGGCAGAGCCACGCCAACTAGGGAGGAGCTGGGTTTCACACTGAAGTTTTTTCTCTCTTTTTCCCTTTTCCTTCTTAAATAACCCCATTTGGGCCTCCAATAAAAAACCAAAACATCTGGTGCTGGGTATTTGGCTGCTGAGAAGCAGCTCCTGCTGAGCTGAAAAGCACAGCAGCGATGCAGGGATTCCTGGTATGGATCAGTAACACTTAAGGTTACATTCAGGCATTATCCCTGTCCCTCCTGGCCTTTGAATATATGGACTGAGGACACTGAGGGAGCTGTGGTGCTCGATGCCAGCATGCAGGTAAATCATGCAAGTCAGTAAAAAGTCAATTGAATCAGTAAAGAGTCCTTCAAGCCTGATTTATTGATGCTCTCATGTGAGATCTCAGCAGTGTAAGATGCTGCTGTGAGAAAGAGATGAATCAGTAAATCACAGGAGCATGGTGGGTGTTGGATGAGTGGGGAGAACCCTTTTGCAGGGCCACCCCAAGCCCTGGATGAGCCCCCCAGCATGGCTCAGGGCTGTTCCCCTTCCCAGGCCAGCAGTGAGGCCAAGCCTCTGCCCACCCAGCCTGCTAGGTTTGCATGAAGAGGTGGAAATTGGTCCTGGTAAACTCCTGGTGGATGCTGTCAAGTAAGTTGTCTGAATCCTGGGGAACATCTGAGGGGACCTGCTGCCCTGGGATGCAGCTCTGCTCTGGGGTGTAGGTAAACGTGAAGGAGCTGGAGTAGATGAGGCCATCGTCCCTGATCAGCAGGAGCGGGACCGTGATGGGATATCGCAGCCACCTCCAGTCACTGCCGAAGGCAGAGACATCAGGGACGACACACACAAGGGACTTGGGACTCCTGGCAACAGTGCAGGAGAGGAAAATGTGCATTAATGGAGGAAGGTCCTATGCAGGAGCAGCCAGCAGAGAGTGACTGCACTTCTCCTCCATCCTGGAGCTCAGTGTGAAGCTCCTCCAGCCAGCTTCCTCTCTCCTCCCAGTCTTTCATTCCTCTCTGCCAGGGTTGCTTGGCTGTTCCCTGAAATCCCTGTTGTCCCCCACCCATGGCTATCCCCAGACTGCAGCCAGGGCAGAGAGCAGGCAGCAGACTCATCCCTGTCTCTGCTTGCGGTGCTCCTGCAGGATAGGCAGTGCAAGTGTCCCTGTCCCCAAAGTCTGCAGCCACATCCCTCCCTGATCTGCTCAGCACAGCCCACACCTGGCTGCTGTTCCCTGCCTTCTGCCCAGCTCCCTTATCCATGTTACCTGTACATTGTCTCTGCTTCCACATCTCCAAACCAGACCTTGAGGCGTGCATGGAAATACTCGCCCTGCACCTCCAGCATGGCCACGTCCCCGCCGCCCGTGAGCTGTGACGGGCAGAGAGTGTGGCAGGGTTATGTGACACAGTGAGCCAGACTCCTTCTCCCACAGGATGCTCTGCCTGTCCATCTCATTCCCACGGCATCCCAAAATGGGGAGATGCCACAGGGGCACAGGGCTCAGGAGCAGGAGGCACGAGGCAGGCAGGTGACACAGAGCCCGTGGCTGTGCCTACCTGCAGGGCAGCGATGAGCGGAACCGGGCTGACGGGCTCACGGACGCAGGCCAGGCTCTCACTGAAGGTGTATTCCACAGTCTCTGTGCTGATGATGGTCCAGCACGAGCCGTCGTTCAGCAGCTCCCGGTTGGCTTCCTTTGGGCAGGGAGATGCCTGTGGAGAGTGTCAGAGCTCCAAACACACTGCAGTGGAGATGGTGAGGAATGGGGCTGGGATGCCTGGCTTCTGCCCTCAGTGTCTTGGTTCCAGAAAGTGATTGCTTTGCTCATGGAGAAATGGCGATAATTATTCCTTTCCAAAGACCTCATTTTCAGTGTCCCCACCAAAGCTTTGCCATGATTGTGGCCTTAGTTTGGATGCAACAGCCCTCCCAGTGACATGTTCCCCAGCCTGATGCAACATGGGACTTTGGAGAGATGACAGCAAGGGATCCTCACCTGCTCCTGCACTGCCATACCTGGAACTGGATCACTTTGTCTGTGGAGAGACACAGGTACATGCGGTCGCTGCCTTGGAACTGGAAGGCACACTTGTGGAGCTGGGAGATGGGCTCATCCACGTCCAGCATGGCATACTGCTTCATCACCTTCCGGATGATCTGCGGGCGGCAGCATCCCCGGCATGGCACCGCTGCTCGGAGCCGTGGAGCCGCTCTGCGTGCCTGCAGCCGCAGGGATGGAGCTTACCAGGGGCGGCAGGGTGACGCCGGTGGCCGTGCAGACCAGCTGGACCACGGAGCCGTAGCGGATGTACCCTTCCCGCAGAGGGAACTCGCTCCGGCTGCAGCGCTCGTCCGCTGGCCGGGAAGGAGAGAGGCAGAGTCACGGCCCGGGGAGCAGGTTAACCTTGCCAGGCACAAGTGTGGCCGTGCTCCTGCTGCTTTCTTGCTGCCTTCTCTGCTCTGCACGTGCTCGCTGCATGGAGAGGCCACCATTCCCTGGGAGCCCAGCACGGGAGAGCAGGGCAGGGATGCGGTACCTTGCAGGGACACTGCTGGAAGCAGCGTGGGCAGGAATACTGCTGGGCAGTCACTTGCTTGGATTTGTGAACCTCCAGACCAGTACAGCTCTTGCTGCCCTGGTCACTGCCCCTTTGCCCTCAAAGCCAGCGGGAAACGCCCAGAGACACACCAGGAATGCCGGTCAGAGGTGAGACTGAGCTGGATTCCGGCATTCCCACGCCTTTTGCCCCCAAGAAGGAGATCCATGGCTGGAGACAGGCAGCCCTGGGCATGGTGGCATCAGTGTCCCCCGAGGGTCCTTACCCAGGTGGAGGGTGAAGGCTGCCCACTGCTTGGCGCTGGCGATGAAGGCTCCCCCTTCCACGGACAGGTACCGGGTGCTGACGGTCTGGGAGCGCAGGCGGTTGAAGAGGGACACTTTGGAGCCTGAGGAGATGCACACTGGGGAGAGGCAGCTGGGTTAGTGCTTGCAAGGACTGAATGATGGCTCTGTCAAGTCCAGTGAGGACAATCCCTGGTTCCTGGGGTACCCACCCCGGCAGCAGCCAACACCCTCCCCGCTGCCTTCCTCTCTGCGTGAGCAGTGTGGCGTGCCACACTGGCATCGGCACATTACACCTCACGGTGGGTCATTTGGAAATGAGACATCACTGTGTCACTTACATCCTCTTTTGGGAGTTCCCACGGGCTTTGGGTCCAGCCTGGACCACTCCAGAGCCAAGCTGCGAGCAGAGAGCATCCCATCCTGGGCTGGCACCCACCTCCCTCCCCACAGAGCCACTCGTGTACTCACGGTCCGTGTTCTTCAGCGACTGCTTTTTCTGTGAGGGCTTGGAGATGACCTTGATGAGTTTGCTGTGGAAGGTGCCGATCTCCTGCCCGTTGCTGAAGAAGAGCTTCAGGACCAGGCGGAAATGCTTGCGCTTGTCCGTGTCCGAGATGTACAGGGCCTTGGCACAGCTGAACCCCTGCCAAGGGCACAGAGGGGCTGCCAGCAGCTCCAGCCCAGCCCCACCAGCCATGCTCACCCTCCTCACCACCCCACAAGGATATAATAGCTCCCTTTCAAGGAGCCCTGGGTTCATTTAAAGGGAGAAATGACCAGAGATGTTATTACAGGTGGAATGAAGAGCTGGGGATCGGCAGAGGCTTTATTTACACTGGGGGTAGAGTATTCCTTATGGAAATGAATGTTCATGTGTGACTTATCCCACATAACATGAGAAATCACCCTGGGTTTATGGTTTCCCTCATCCTGGCCAATGTGCTGTGCCTTAGCAAGGCAAGCACTGCGGACAAAGGCTCTTTCTGTGAGGTTCCTGGCCTGCCTCAGACCCCGTGCTCTTCAGGAACCCCAGATAATGCTTTTTCTCCTTTTTTCCACCTCCAATCAAAAGATGCCAGAGCTCTGCTGAAGCTTTTGAACTTTGGGATCAACAGCATCTCTTTTTTTAGCTGTTTATCTGCAAATGAGGGATGAGACTTTCATTTTGTGACAAGCAGCAGTGCTGCTCATCAGGACAAAGAGCCAGGGCTCAGGGAGCTGTGCAGATTTCAGCAGCCACAGGGCTTTTGACCTGAAAAGAAGGTTCCAGAGAAAATGGGGATCTTTGGGCTGCCTGGATTGCTGCACATGCCACAAAGGGCTGGCAGAGTGGGAGTGGGGAGTTATGGCTAGGAAGAAAGAACTGTGACATCCCGAGAATGGGGAGGGTGTGACATCCCAGGGTGTGGGGTGATGCTGGTGACAGCCCAGCCCCTGCAAGAGGGGGATCCCCCAGCCCCAGGGTGCCAAGGGCTTTACCTTTGCATCTGGCTGCTCCTCAAAGCTGAGCTTCTGGGTCTCCATCAGGCTGCTGCCCATGCTGTCCAGCCCCATGTACCCACACACCCGAAATCCAGCCTCTCCCAGGTCCCTGGCTGGAAGAGACAAGGAGAAGCACCTTCCAGACCCCTGCACAGGTTCAGCTTTGCCAGGAGTGGAGCATGGCCAAGCTCCAGCCCTCCCTGGGTCTGGATTTCAGGGGGCTCAAGCTTGAGCAGGAAAGGAGTTTGGGGGCCCAAACCCAACACAAACAGACTCGCTGCACCCTTTGCAGAGGCAGAGGGCAGCTCTTCATGGTGCAGGAAGGGAGGGAGGAGAGGTCCAGGGCTGCTGCCCAGTGCTCACCTTTTATCTGCTCCTGCTTTAACTTCCATCCTGGCCCACTCAGGTAAACACAAGGTGGGGGGCAGAAAAACCTGCAGAGACAGGAGGGCATTTTCTCACTGCCCCTCAGCACCCTGGAAAGGTGCTTGGGACTGGCTGGATGTCTGTGCTGAGAGCAGAGACCTTCACTGGGGATCACCAGCACTGGGGGCAACCCCACAACCCGGGAGGAACATGGAGCTGGGCAAGGGGCTGGGAGCCTCTGCCCTGCACAGCCTCCAGTGCCTGGTTCCAGCCTCAACAGCTGCCACATCTGGTGGTGCTGCTGGTGGCCATGGTCCCACCAGTGACAGGATGGCCCTGGGGTGGAAGGACAGGGACCCTGGCACCCGCAGCTCCAGCTCCACCAAAGACAGGGAGCGATCAGACCCTGCCTCTGTCTGACTGCCATGTGGGAGTTTCAGCAGGCTGGGAACAGAGTTTGCATTCACAATCAGTTTTGGAGCCCAGTGCAAATAAATCTATAGCCAGGAGTTTGGAAACCCATTTTCCTGTGTTTTATTTGGGTTTCCACTGTCTTTGCGCTTGTGTGAATGGTGTAAATTCATCCTCTATTGATACTGGGTAAGGCACTAGCAGAGAAATCACCAGTGCAGGGGGTTGGGTATTTTGGAGCCCTAAAGTTCTGGATACAGGTTTACTTAAACAATCCATCCACAGCACAGGCCCCTGGCTCACACTGTTAAGGAAAATGGCAGCAGTACCTTCAAACTTTAACCTGGGAGCTCTGTGCAGGTTTTCTCTCCCTTTTCAGACCTGGCATCTGATTTTCACACTCATTCCTTGCACAGGGCCAGGAGCAGAGGAAAGAGGCAGTAATGAGGCTCCCTCCTGGCTGGAAGATTCTATCCTGAAATAACTTTTTTACCTGTGGACCAGCAGCCCCTGGCAGGAGACTGGATGTGGTGGGAACTTTGTAGGCACAGCCAGCCCATCCCAGAGGTGTCTCCTGGGCTTGCTGGGTCTGGGTGGTTACACCTTGGAGGCTGAACTGGTCACCTCATAGCTATTCCATACTCAGTAATAACGGAGGAGTATTTATATCACAAGGATTAATGGAGGATTAATTACATTGCAGTGCCGCAGTCTGACATCACTGCCAGGGAGTGGCAGTTTTGGAGATTCAAGCCAGAACCTCAAGGTGTTTTTGCAGTGTGGGAATGATTTTCAAAAATAGCAGCTTTTTGGAGACCACTGGCATTGATGGAAGCACCCCAGTCCCTGCTGTGGCCATGCAGATTTTAAGACAAGGGTTACAGGACAGTTAGAACGCTAGCCTTTCCTTCCTGGGGGGTGAGATTTGAATAGAGTCTTGACTTCTTTTACTTCATCTTTCTTTCCTGCTCCACAGAAAGAACCTAACCACTGGGAATGTCTAACTGGGATGGATGCAGGTTGGAGCTAATACCTTTCTCATGTTATTGAATTAATGGAGACTAAATGTTGGCTTTGGATGCAAAGACATCGTGAGTGAATGCAGAGAGGATATGTCAAATGATTTGCTTCACCAGCTTAGATCAGCGAAATCCAGCAAGGCTGAAATCAAGCCTTAGGCAGCTGGGTTTAGAAGTGGTTGTCAGGGAAGCTGGAATTATCTCCCACCTTTTTTCATTGCCATAGGACTTCTGTGCGACTTTGGCGTGCAGGATCAGCACGGTCTGGTCTGCTGGCAGCTGCAGGTACCTCCGCACGCTGTCCTGGAGCAGGCTGGCGTGGTACGGGTTGGATCTACAAGACAGAATTTCCCTGGCACTGTGGCACCAGAGCCAGCTCCCTCCATGTCTGGGCTGATGGGGTGGGGAGGGTGGAAAGGCTTTCCCATCAGAAAGCACTGCAGCTCAGCTGCTCTAAGAATGGGGCTGGCATTGAAAAATAGAAAGTTTGGATAATGGAATAACTGCTTCATCAGTTTGCCACTGAACACACACAGGGCATTTCTAAGACTTCCCGTCCCATGTGATGGTGGCTGTGCTCTAACTGATTATTAACTTGTTTTTCCACCTGATGTACTTGTTGCTGTATGGCTTTTGGGTGGGTTGGGAAGCGATGCTGCTGAGATGTGAGTGCAGCTGGGGAGCTGTCGTGTGAGGTGGAGCCACTCGTTGGCTTTGGCAAGGGGTGTTGGGTGAAAATAGCTGCATTTTTCTCTGAGACCTAAGAAGTAGGTGGTTCTGCTGATTGTTTCTGCTCTATTAACTAGAAGGAGTTCCCAAACACCTGGCATTCAACTCTGCTAACTTGGTAGGTTGGGTGTTAACCAGCTGGAGAGAGGTGAGATGGGTCCAAGATGCCCTGCTCTGCCACCTGGGACATGTGTGCAAGGACTGGGGAGTGCAAGGACTGGGGAGTGCAAGGACTGGGGAGTGCAAGGGAGGACAGCTCTGGGACGTTCTGTGGTGCTGGCTTGCCTTCAGAGGAGGTGAAACCACTCGCTGAACAACACCAGTTCCTGCCCTGCTGAAAGCCCCTAAACCCCCCAAGTTTGGGACAGGAGCATTCCCTGAGTTTGGGATATTTGACTGGGTAAGATGAAACCAGAGGAGAAGGAGGAGGAGATGGCTGTGTAGGAGTCTCTCCTTGGCACATCTGTCAATGTGGCCACTGGGAACATCACTCCTACCAAGGGGACCCAGCCTGGCTGGTGATGAGTCTCCTGTCAGAGACAGAGGTAAAGCAGCATACAGAGAAAGCTGTGGAGCCCCAGCCCCAGTGGAAAACACATCGCAGAGTAACTGTGAGAGAGCATCTGGGGGCTGTGGGCAGCACTGGGGGTGGCTCAGAGGAGAAGGGGTGACAGTCGGGAGATCAGCTACAGGCACACAATTGGAACTTGCGAGAGGGGTGCAGGGGAGCATTCCCATTAAACACAGTCTCTCTTCCTCTTAAATGGACTAGAAATGGAGAAAAGTTGAGAGCATAAATGATCAGGTGTGTGAGGAGAGGTCAGTCTGGTCCTGCCATCTGCCCAAGGCAGGCTCCTCGTGGTGAGCTCCTCTGGGCTCAGAAGCCAGAGCAAGCTCCCAGCGAAAGAAGCTGCAAGCAGTCATCCCAAGCAACCTTCTAGAGGAGTTTGCCTGCCAACTCTTCCTCCAGTGCAATTTAAAAGCTTTGCCCCTTACAGCTTTTAGCACCCATGTTGCAATTCACTTTAAACACATACCACTTCAGTTCCAGCTTTCCCAGCTTTGGATGGAGCTGATGCTCTCCTGTTGTATGAGGAAGAAAAACACATATCCCATAGAAGCAAATATTTACCCAGTGTCTTCTCTGAGCAGTGCCATGGGGACCTGACACTTTGCACTGCATGGATGTGCTCTGTTTGGTTACTAGAGGGGCAATATCATCTCCTGCCCTTCTTGTTCCCAGTTCTTTATCCCAGATGTGTTAACTGGATCACTGGTAAACATAAATCAACAAAGCCCTGCTAGAATCAGATTTACAGCCAGGGCCAGTGTCAGTGTCACCCACAGCATTAACTGCTACTCTGTGCCTGGAAAATGAAAGTTTTATGGCCATTCCTGACTGCAGAGCACAGGCTGCCACCAGGCTCTGCTCTTGTGGCAGCCCCAGAGCTGCTGCCAGCACAGGGCTCTGGGCTTAGCCCACAGCACTCATGGCAAGGCAGGAGGAGCTCCTTTGCCAAGCTGTACCTGTTCCCTCCATCGTGGTGCTGGGAGACTCCTGCTCCAGCACACTGAGGCTGAGCTTTATCAACCAGCATCCCACCAGTGGCTGCTCCAGGGTGGGTCTCTTCGTCTTGCTGAAAAGTTTCACTCCACTTTTTAGCCAATGAATAGTTTATATCTTTGCACAGCCAAAGAGATCCCATAAGAAAGTTATTTAATCTTTTTCCATAATGGCAATCTGCAGCTGTTTCACTCCTCTGCTGCCAAGCAATGGTGTGATTTCAGCTTTGATCCGCCTTTGCTATTTTTCCCTTCATATAAAAGCAGTGTTTGGGAATCTCTCAGCAAAACTCTGGGTTGTTTTTTGTTGTTTATTTTGTTTTTTAAAATTTGTTTTGTTTTGTTTTGGGTTTTTTTTTGCTTTTTTCAGAACAACTGATTATGATTTGGATAAATGTGGAAATGTATCAAGGAAATTTACCTGACCCTGGATACTCTTTTACACTAATGCAACACTGTGTTAAATGAGTACTGAACCTTGCTGGCTCCGTTCAGGAGCATTTCACCCTCAGTTTGTCAGAGACAGCAGGCACACAGCAGGGAAGAACCAGGCTGGGTGTGTGAATTTTTTCCTGGTGAGTCTCATCGTTCAGTGTGCTGTGTAAAATTAGGAGTATAGCTTCGGGTTCTTGTGTCTCAGCTGCAGAGTCACATGCTCCATCCCTGTTAGTGCCACCAACGCAGTCACCAGTGCCCATCCACATGGCTTGGGGGCTCCTCTGCCATCAACCCCTTGGCAAAGTATGGAACCGCCTGGTACAGAGGCCAGGCAGTGGCAGGGAGTGCTCAGGAGCAAATTGCCTAAACCTGTGGATTAAGGCATGTGCTGACAGCGTGGGCAGCAGCAATGCCTGCTCTGCAGAGCCTCCTGCAGCACTGGCTCAGGGCAGGGCCAGGCTTGTGCAGGTATCACTGCTCCCTGCCATCCGTACGTAATTCCAGAGGCACGTGGGTCGCTGCCTGGAGCTTATTAAAGAGCCTTCTGGAACAATTACCCACATGCTACCTGAAGTGGGAATGTGCATGCCAAAGGCAGGTAAACAGATGGGAGCTCTGCAGATTTGATGTCCAGCTGGAGGAACAACTACTTAGAAACTTGGCTTTCTTTTCTTTGTCCGTTCTCTGCGGCTCTTGCCTTCCAAATACTGGGGCTAAATCGTGCCAGTGACGCACTTCTGAGCAGTGCTTGCCACTCTGCCCACAGAGGCGACCACCCAGCATCCATCATCTGGTTTAAATTTATCTTCAGAGAGTCAAAGGGCTATTGCTAAGGCAGCTCAGTATACCCACTTGGCTCCTTCTGGCACCTACAGCCTCCTCAGGGTTACAGAGAATTATTCACTCCTTCTGACATTTATTATATTAAATTATTAAAATGCTTTGGTTGTAGTGCAGTGTTAGTTCAGTGTCATGTTAGCAGCACCACACGGGCTGGGCTCTTACAGCTCTCACTAAAAGCTGCCTTTTCAGAGCCAGAGGTCTTGGCTGGGGCTCGGCTGCTCTCCACACAGTTGGGCATTATGTACAAGAAGGGAGGGGGAGCGAGGGGGGATCCACCACCCTTCTCCTACGCTGATTTCTGTAAGCCTTTCCCCTTCCCTGCTCAGCCTGGCACCACTTACCAAGGCTTTTCCTTTGCTTTAGGTCAGGATGTGCCTCGGGAGAGGATGTGAGTACATTTGTGGTGGATCTCTACCCTGGTGCTTGAGGTGGGAGAGACCCAGGGCACCCCGGGGGATTTGCAAGCCCTGGCTGGGTTGCTGTGCCCTCTCCCATGGGAAATGAAGCAGAAAAGGAGGAGTGCTCTGTGTGCTTCCCACAGGAGACACACACAGCTGGACCACCTTGCAAAGGGCTGTTTCATGTGGGCACGCAGGGAACCCAGGCAGGCGCCGAGAGGCTTTGGTAGGGTTGGACCCCACAGCCCCGTCGCTGATTTTAGGAGAGCTGATGTTTAACACCACAGCTGAAAATTATCCCTCTCCCTCCCAGCAGCAAGTGTTTAGGGGCATCACTCGGTGCTTTGTCCTGATTCCAGCTGAGGAATGCTGCTCCCTGTGTGGGACATACCCTGCTCCACACATCACCTTCTGTGTGCGCACCCCTGGGCAACCGCAGGAGGAGAAAAAGCACTTTACAAGCACTGGGAGAAGCAAACTGCCCTCTGCCCTGCTCCTTTTCAGTTCAATGAGCTTCACCAGCCCAGCCTGCTGAGGAAGGGATCTGATATATTTGGTCCCCTGGGAATGAAAGTACTCTGGAGACCAAAATACAATCCTGGCAGCTATTGTTTAGAAACTGGGTCTTCAAATCACCTCTGTATACAGGAAGTGTAACACACAGTAACTGTGTCCCCAAGCGCAGGTAGCACTGAATTGAAGTGCAGAGATTTAATTTGCTGCTTTCCCCCCAAAAAAGGAGCTGTGGTTTGCCTTGCTCAGGACACAGCTACCCTGAAGCTTGCTGGGGACTTGCTGCCATAGAGGGCAATTGTGCTTCTCTCAGTTTGGGGAAACCAAACATCCTAATAAAAAATATCCATCTTAGAGGTCTGGCTTATATTTTGTGCAGATCAGGGGAGAAAACGCCTGCACTGCTCTTGGGTATGGACTCAATGCAATGTTTATGCAAAAGGAAAAGCCATTAGAAATCACAGAAATGAGAAGCCTGCAGTTTCTGGCCTCCCTCATTTTTCAATACCTCCTTTAATCCAGACCAACCCAACCCACAGCCCTTGTATATGCATGGGTATTTATAAATCCTGTATTTTCCTCACTGCACACACAAGTGAAATTCAGCCTTTTCTAGGCCTGGGGGATTTATCAACCACACCAAGGGCAAACAGCAGCTGAGAGCAGGAAGCACGAAAAGCCAGTGGCAGTGGGCTCTGCAGGGAGCAGGGGCCAGCCAGGGTGGGCACCCCAGCAACACCAACACCCCCAAAATGCCCAAGTTTGATAAAGCAGTATTGGCACATCTGCTAGAAAATCCAGACAGTGAGGGTGATTTACTGAAGTCTCCTTTCTCTGTTCCTCATGTGCAGAGAGGAAGGGAAGTGCTGTTAAAGTGCTGCAACACAGTCCTATAAAGCACTGAAGGAGGTTCCTGCCACCACCAGACTGATCTAGGTGATGGGAGAGGTGGAGAACCAGGAAGGTTCTATTCCAGGGTTTCTAAGAAGCCTCTGCTGATGATCTCCAATGCACATCAATTGACCTTCTTGATGGAAGCTTAACCTGAGACTCTACAGCCCTCCAAGCTCTGGTCTGCAGTTTCCTGGTTCAAACTCACCTCCCCACACTGCAACCACTATCTGATGATGTTCCTAAACTTCCAGGACACTAGGTAAAATGGATATTCAGCTTAGGCTCTCCTTATTCCATGAACTTTTATGTTTATGGGGGTCCCAGGTACACTCCCCCAGCATGGAAAGAGGCAATAAAGGGGAAGAAAAAAATTAAAAAAATAAATATAAAACAAAGAGGAAAAGCAAAAGGAGAAAAAAATAGATGAAAGCGAGAAAAAACAGAAAAAGATAAAAAGGAAAAATAAAATAAAGAAAACAAATTTAAAATTAAGAAAGAAAAACAAAGGAGTAAAAAAAAGGAAAAATGGAGGAAAATAAAGGAAAAAAGGGGAAATAAAACACTAAAAGCAGCAGGGCCCTCCACGCCGGTGAGCCCACGGCCATCCCGGGCCGCGCAGCCTTCGGTGCCGGTTCCACCTGCGCGCAGCTCCCGCGGGGACCCGCACGGCGGGGGCGGATGGGACCCCCGAGTCCGCCCCGCCGGCACAGGCGGCGGGACCCCCCCGCTGCCAGCGCTGCCCCGGGGCCGGGCCGTGCCCGCCCCGCCGCCCCCCCGCTCCCCCGCCCCGTTAAATGCCGGTGGGGCCCCGCCGCCTCCGCCGCTGCCGCCCCGCACCGCCCGCAGCCGTACCTGAGCCAGCAGCGCGGCGGGGAGCGGCTCCGCGGCCCGCACGGCTGAGGAACGGGCTCCGAGCCTGCGGGAAGGGACAGCACAGGGTCAGGAGGCTGCCGGTGAGTCCGGTCCCCATCCCGGTCCCGGTCCCTGATCCCGGTCCCCATCCCTATCCCGATCCCGATCCCCATCCCGGTCCCCGTCCCGATCCCGATCCCCATCCCGATCCCAATCCCGGTCCCGGTCCCGAGCGCTGCCGCGGAGATTGTCAGCCTCCGAGGGGTCTTTTCCTTGGAGCGGGGCTGGCAGGAAGGGGAGCGGCGATCCTGGGCGTCAGGAGCAGAACGCGAAAGCCGGGAGGAGGGGAAGAGCACAACCTTTGCCGCAAAGGATTTTTCCTCCCATCTGTGGGCTGGAGCCTTCCCGACCCCCGGCCGCACGGTGCAGCGGTGCCGGGGTGTGTTCGGTCCGGCAGCCGGGACATGGAACCCGCTCGGTCCCTCGGTGCTGGGTGAGCGATGTGAACTCCTCTGCGCTGCCGGGATGGCTCAGGCTGCCTGCCCTGCTCACCTTTTGCCTACCTCGGGCAGGTCCCTGCTTATACAAGCGAGGATCTCTTAGCAGAGAATAATAAGGTCTGGTACACCTGGGCAAGGCGTACTGAGCAACAAGAGATTGAGATCCTGCAGAAAGATAAGCTCAGAAGTGTACCCTGAGTTTGTTATGCACCGTTTCTGCACGACTGGAAAACTGGGTCTGTGCATACTCGTTTGCACAAGCAATCACTCCCCTTCAACTTATCATTCCAACTGTTTCACAGGATAAAATTAGCTTTGGGCACTTCTGTTCCAAGCAATTACATGGGAAAACTTCTTTGGAAAATGAGATTATTCTGCACTCATGGTGTTTGTGCGGCCACGCAGTCGTGCGAGCCAAGCGGAGCTGAGCAGATACAGGGTGTAGGTGCTCTGCTGGGGGTTTGCCCCTCGTTCTGCAGGGTTCTCTCCTTTGCCGTGGTGCAGAGCTCTGAATCCATTCAGGAGGCAGGCTGCAGGGTGGGAACCAGTGTGGATGAGGGGGCTGGCAGGGAAATGGGGCTGTCCTGTGCCAATGGGATCCACCACATGTGTGCAGTGGGACTGAGGGGAGCAGGGGTCCATGACAGGGGCCTGTTCTCAGCCCCAGCTCTGAGATGAGGGCTTTGCCTCTTTTGCCTAAACACAATGGATTTTTGCTTCACTTAAACCCAGATTATTTATAAAGTTATTATGAAGTTCTCCCTTTTGGACCCTTCCCTGTGGGACCCTCTGTAGTATCTCTTGACAGTTAAGATTTCGTTTTTATTTTTTCAAGGACAGGAGCAATTATTCCCAGGCAGTGAGTGTGCAGGTTCTCAACAACAAGTAGAAACCTCATTTCACAAGCAGATTCTTGTGATCTCTGCAGGAATTCATGAGATTGCTGTTGATATCAGCAAAAAGCTGTGTGTGGGGAAATCTCTCAGATCTCAGCCCTGATATTTGCCACCAGGATATGGATAAACTCAGCCTCATCCGAAATGCAAATTCCCATCTGGAAATCACACGACAGATCTTGGAGTTTGCAGTAAAACAACACTTTTCATTGAAGCAAGGCAGGGTTTTGCTGCACCCAACGGGAAAAAGCTGCTGTTGATTTTTGTGGAAGTTGTAACTTTCGTTTGTTGTTGAAGAATTAAAGAAACCGTATGTGCTGAGTGCAGGATGGGCTCGGGAGCTGCCCTGGTTGGCGGCTGCCGCAAACAGAGGAGCTGTGGCCAACAAGGCAGCCCGTTGTAGGCAATCTGTGGTCACAGAAGATGTTTGTGCTCTGATTGCTCATAACATAGCATTTCCCTTGAGGTTGGCATTAGGGGTTAAAGGTTTTCAAGAGAAGTCTTTGTTTAAACATCTATAAAGTTTCCAATAGGGGCCCCTTTGTTCGCTCTGGAGCAGCGTGCCTGCCTTGTTAAAAACTCTGTGCTCATAAAATGCCATTTACAAATGCCTGATGAATAGGGCTGAAACATGGAGGGGAGATAAGTAGCATTTGTACCTACACACACAGGGGGCTTACAGACAAGCCCTACCCTGAGTGAATAAATGGTACCTAGAAAAAACATGGCCAAAAAAAAAAAAAATAAATGGATGGAGTGGTGCTCATAAAGAAATTTATAAAAGTCAGCTTCTCCCCCTGCAGCACTTGGGCTCCTTCATGCCAGGTGTCTCCTCCAGCCGAGCCAGGAGGCTGAGTGGCTCCTGTCATACCTCTCAGCAATTGTGTTTTCTCCACTTTGGGCCCAAACAGTGGCAAATTGAGCACTTGGGCTCCATCAGGAGCTCATGCAGCTGCCATAAGAGCTCCACTGCTCTGCTGGGCACGGGGACCCTGACTCAGTGCTCTCCATTACTTGCTGTGGGCTGGTGAGCATCTCCCCTGTGTAGATACTCACAGCACAGATGTACCTTTAGGTGCCAGGTAATGTTTTCAACTCTCAGAAGGCTTCGGTTCTCTCCTGTCTTGGCTAAATAGAAAGGGTTTTAAAGCAGCTCTGTTAAAGGAGGAGAGGGTAGAGGTGTGTGCTCAGGAGACTCCAGGGACTGGTTCACAGTGATGGCAGCATTTCCAGGTAGGATGCTCCAGACTGCTGTGTCTTACCCTGTGCCTGAATCTTTCATGGTTCTCACACAGCTTGTCCTTCCTGACGTTTTTAACTTGAGTCAGAATCCATCTTTCCCACCAATATTCTGTGTTTGCCATCTGCAAATTTCTGATCCTCTCACCCTGCAAGCCTCTGCTTGCACATGTGGGTCCATCCCTAGCCTGGTCCCTCTGGTGCCCCTCAGGGAAATCCATAGGGCTCAGCTGTTGTCCCTTGCAGAGAGGTAGCACTACCTTGGTTTCTCTCCAGGCTTCAGCATTTTTCTCTCTGGGCTGTGCTGTGCTTTGCCAATGTGTAAGTTCAGGAGTCCCTGAGTGCAGTCTGTGGGCCCATAGGAGTCCTTGGTCTATGGCAGGAACCAGTGGGAGCAGATCTGTTCACAGCAGAGATAACCCTCTGTACAGGAGTCTCTGTCTGGGCTGGAAAATTAGGCAAGCTCCACACATGGAAAAACACTGCCTTTAGGAATTCACAGCTCGTACACCTGCAGCTGGACTTAGACTTTCCTGCTCTTCAGTGTGGGCAGAAGGGACGCCACAGCCCACTGTGCTGCTGGTGAAGCTCTTCTCTGGTGCATCTGCTAAGGGGTGATGGCACCCCAGCCCCAGGACAGGAGATCTCCTGCTGCCAGAGGGATGTGGAAGCTGTGAAGTTAGGTGTGAGACATTTCCTGTGCTACCTTTGAGGTTCTCCCTGTGAAAAGTTTGCTTTTCTGTTCTGAGGAGGGACAAAAAGTCCCCGTGTGCCTTTCTGCAGCTGCTAAATGCTTCTCACTCTCTGCTATTTCAATTAAACACATAGCAGGATGGGTAGGATAAAGGGGAGAGGCACAAGAATATTCTCCTGGCGTGTTTTCTTATGCCAACGCATTGAGTCACATTTCTAGAGTGAGAAATATGATATAAAGATTTAGAGAAGGAGGTCAGGCAATGAATCTATGATTGCTGGGCTGGAATAGCAGGCGGTCTCTGTGGTTGTCTGTGCCATGTAAACTTCCTGGAGGTCAGCTGGGGATAGTGGTCTGAGCAGATTTGGGAGACAGATGTCCTGCTAGTAACTATCAATCTCATACCAGCTCTGCCGCATCAGGAGCTCAGCTGACAAATTCTGCACCAGCCCAGTAGATGATCTGAGCCATGACTCTTTTCCTTTGTGGTTGAACATGCATATTTCTGGGGGAAAAAAATGCTCTCTAACACCTTCCTCCCAAAACAAGAGCTTGGGCAACGGATTGCTGTGTCAGCTTCTGGATGGCCAGGACATCCTTCTCTCCAAAGTTAGAAGTCTCTTGGTCCAGCTCAGCCGTCCTCCAAGGACCTGTTTGCAGAAGAGCATTTGCTTTTTAAGGGGAGTCAGTAAGGTGGGTCTGTCCCCTGTTGATCACTCTTCATCAAAATCAGAGTATTCCAGTTTTGTTGAAAATAGCAGTGAGGAGATGGGCTGAGTTTGCCTGTTGAGCAGCTCAGGGGACAAGTGTAGCCTAAAGGTCTTGAGTGGGACAGAGAGGAAGAGAGAAATGGCACCAGCAGCCCTGAAACAGGAGCCATCTCTGACGTGATTAGTTGAACAAGGAGATTTGGCAGATGTGTTTTCCTCTAGCTGTGTTTTCCTCTTGGCTAGATCTTTAACATTTTAATTTGCAAGTGAATGTGGTTTTTATTCATGGCAGCTGTTGCAGAAGCAGCCCAGGTACAGCTTGTTTCAGTGCAGGGCTGTCTGGACAAGAGGCTTTCCTGCCAGGTGAGTGGCAGAGCACTGGGAGGTCTCTCAGAGACAGACTGATGGCAGAGAAAGACCTCGTGTGCTGTTGTGGAGAACATCTAGAAGGGGATGCTCTGTCCTTTGCTACACCCAGCATTTCCTTCCCAAGGGGATTTCAAATATCACAGCATAAACCTGCCAGGACTAGTACGAGTCCATGAGCTGTGAGTCAAAAACATCTGTCACTGCAAATGGACCTGGTCAAAAAACCCTTCTTCCTCCTGCCCTCCCTGTGAGTATACAGGAGCAGGTCCCATAAAATGGGGAATAGGCTTTTGTGGGGAGCAAGCAGAGCAAAAGAGAAGTTCCTTCTGCATCCAGCAAGGTTTTCCTGTTACAGCACTGCTTCTGATTTGCTCCTGTTGGGTGATGTGCTGTGGGAGAGACACAGCCTTGTTTTTCAAGCAATGTGTCCTTCCAGGTGGCACTTGGCCCAGTAAAGCTGCCATAGAGTTGTAACCAGAGAGCTCTGCAATGTCCTGGAAAGAGTCTGCTCTGGTTCTCCCACACGTGTTTGGGAAAAACCAAGGACACATCAGTCCTTAAATGAGGGGGAAAACCCCCTTTTGGGCTGGAAATTCATGCCATTTCCATGGTCTTGATGTGCTTGTGGTTCCTGAGTCTTCCTTGCTCTAAAAACTGCATTGCTGTCCTCTCTGCTGGGATTTTCCTTTTGTCACCCAGCTGCTGGCGGGGAAGAGCACTGAGATTTTGGAGCTGTGATTGAGTGTAAGGTCAATGCTGCCTGTAAAATGGTCCTGAGGGTGGATTCAGTGTTTGTGAGCAGCAGAGGTAGTGCTGAGAGCTGGGCATCTGCAAGCAGAGAGCACCTTGAGATTGGGGATTATGTTGGGATAAACCAACCTTTGGGCAGCTCTCCAGGAGAGGGTGGATCCAGCTCCAGAGCTGTCCTGGGCCTCATCCTTTCACACTGATTGCAGGTCTTGCAAATACATGGACAATGTGCCAGCAATTCATCCATGTTTGTACAACAAATTTTGGCATTGAGAGGTGCCTCCAGGATGATGTAAGCTGTCTGCATCTCTCCAGGTAGCTCTGCTTGCTTCATTGTCCCCTGGGGCAAGACACACATAAGTCTTCCCCCCTTGGTCCCACATGCATTTTTGGGCAGCCTTTCTCTCAGGCATGGACTGGAAGGATGATGACTTGCTGTCCTGCTGAGGACATCATAATTTTTCTCCCCATCCTCCAGCCTGAGAATGCTCTTGCTGTCTTTCTGCTGTTGTCCTGGCAGAACTCAGGTGTCCTAAGAGAAAGGACTCAGGGCTGGGACTCCTGGTCATATTTTGATTGGGTTTTTTGAGACTTTCATCAAATAACATAGATATTTGAATTAGTGATAGAATTGATAGATGATAGAATTGAATTTCTCAAAACTGCCTGGTTGGGTGTCCACAAAGAAAAGCTCTGCAGAGCAAAGGAGGGTGCATGAAGAGGCAGATGAGGAGGGTGAATTTCAACAACATTATGTCTAGGACTGCTGTACCATTGGCCAAGGCTTCCAGCACAGAAATAGGTGCTGGTAGCACACGTGGCATCAGTGCCCTGCACCTTGCCATGTGTGCCTGGACCGGTTGTGTGTGCCTCCTCCTGTGCACAGCCCTGCTGCGTGGGACAGCCCTCTGGCTTGGCTGGTGCTTGCTCACAGCCTCCAGCTCTTCCCCACTCCTTGCAAATCATGGTGATCCCTTGTCCTGTCTTCTTGCAGGGTCTGGAGCCAGCATGGCTCCACAACCTGCTTTCCTCCTTTTGACACTAGTGTCGGGGCTTTTCCTGGTCTGTGAATGCACTTCCACCTCTCCCTTCTCCATCTGCTTCATCCCCTCTACAGTTCAGTACAGAAAGCTCCCATCCCTGTAACAGCAAGGAGGGCAGGGAGCTGTCAGTATTCCTCACCCTGCTCCCTGCCATGCCCTGTCTTTTGGCTTTGCCCAAGGCAGGGTGTGCCCAGGTCCAACCTGCCACCATCTGGATGAACCAGAAGGGGAATAGTCAGAGCATTTCTGTTAACCTGTAGCCAGGAGAGAGCTGCCAAGGAGGCCACGCTGAAACCTGAAGCGGCTGTTTTTCCTGAGACTCAGCATTTGGCAGGGAGAACAGACGGACAAGTGGTGGAGCAGGGAGGGATGCAATTGCCCTGGAGAGCTGCATTGCTGGTGGAGGTGCCCAGGGAAGGTGTGCTGGCTTACCTGTTTGTCTCTGGAGATCCATCTCCATGTCCTCCTCGGCTGAGATCAGGTGTAGAGTCAAGAGGAGGGGACCCTTCTGTCCTTACATGTGGCTCTCCCCTTGGTCACCCTCCTTGCATCACATATTGAGCATCTCCTTCAGCAGTGAAAAGCAACAACTGTTTCTCCCATTGTGTTGCTCAGAAACGTCAGGAATGGTCCAAGTGTCCCTCTCAGCTCATCTGCAGGGTTTGGCTGAGCCAGCCCAGGCAGCAGCACTCACCTTGCCTGGACGTTTTTTCCTTTATAGCTCAGTGTTATCTCAAGGTCTCTGGCGCTGCAGCCGGCGCTGTGTTTGCCTTGCCCGGCAGCACCTGCCTGCCAGCCGCTCGCTTCCCACCCATCTCCCTCCCACTCCTGCACGGGCCTGGAGGGGGTGGTGTGTGATTCTTCCCGGGGCGAGGAGTCCCTCCATAGGGATGCAAGTCAGCCCCAGGGAAGTGAGGGTAGAGGGAAGTTGCCAAGTGTGGGATGGTGGGGGAGATACTGGGGGACATCTGTCCCATCATCTTTGCTTCCCCATCCCTTTGCTGCTGGGGTAGGACTGGGCATTAAATTGGATCAGGCACCAGGATGCTGTCCCAGCCTGGTCTCTGCTGCCAGGACCAGCATATGACCGAGCTGCCATGCCCTGCCCAGTCCAGGCAGCATCAGCCCTTCCAGCTGTGGGGGGAGCCAAGACTTCATCCAAAAGCTGAGATGCTGTTAAAAATAGATCAGTCGTGAACTGGTTTTCTCCTTCTTGGTTCCTGGCCCGACAGCTCATTCCTCCCTCTGTGCTGTCTTTGAAACTCCCTGGATGCTGTGAGACACAGGCTCCATAGCAGCCTGCCTCTGCAGGGAGGTGTGGAGAGAAGAGAGCTGCAGAAATATTCTAGGAGACATAGCTGTCCCAAAAATATTTAGTGCTTTGTGAGTGCTTTCTCCCAGGAAATAAAACAGCTCTGGAAAAGGAATCTGCTAAATAAATGGGGAAGAAAAGCTGGGAGAGGAGCACTGTTTGCCTCTCTGCTTGCATGTGGTGAGGGGACACAGGTGTCTGAGCAATCCTGGCCACAAAGCAAAGCTCACCTCTGTGCCCTGGGAAAGCCCTGTCAGGCTGCTGTCCCTGCTCATCCCCTCAGCCAGAGCATTCCCACTGCTCCTTCCCCTGCAGGGTTCTGCAGGAGCTCCTGGCACTGCCACGGAGTCGCCGTGTCCCAGCCTGGTCCCTCCAGGGACAGGCCACGTCTCTCACTTTGAGGAGGGCATTCTGGATCCCAGTAGCCTCTTGAACCCCTTTTCTGTCCTCCTAATTCTTTAATACAGTTTTCCAGGTGTGAACAGTGAGTCTCGAGACAGTTTTAAGATGCAGCTGTGAAACCTATTATCAGTGTCCCTGCTATCAAAGACGTGGTGTTCAGGGCTGCACGTAACCACTGAGCAATTAAACAGCAACCCTGGTGATGAATTACAGCTGAGACCTCCTGGGGCTAAATAAATACTGGCTGATAACTACCGATAAAATGAATTTTTGTGTGTTTTTTCTTAAAAGTACCCTTCCAGTATTTGTGCCCAGTCCTGGCATTGCATATCTCCTGGGGAGAGTCACATTATCTGTGGCATTTCCATCCCTAGCACCTTGGGTTTCCAACCACAGCTGTAATAAAAATAAACTAAATCCATATCCCTGCAGGAGCCAGGAAAGGCAAGGCAAGGCAAGACAACACAGAGATGGGCATGGAGGGAGAGAGTGACAAGCTGAGGTTTTGAGTAACAAGTTTAAATATCTTTTTCCCCCCAGTGATCCCACTTTAAAGACATGAAAAATCTGTTGGGGTGCAGAGTATCCCTTGGAAAAACCTTTAGGAATGGGAGAGCTGCAGAGTGCTGGTGACAGAGTGGTGGGGACACCGAGGTGATGTGAAGAAGAGCATCAGGCTGGCAGTGCTTCACCCAGCACCTGCCTGAGGAAGGAGGTGTGAGCCCACCTGCACAGATCCCTTTACACACTCTACCTGCAGAGACTCCTGCTCTCCCAAAGGAGTTTGGAAACTGGCAGAGAATGGAGCTTTTTGGAAAAATTATCTTTGAGGGTGACTTTGAGAGACTTCTGAGCAGGTTTTGTCTGTGCTGGCATTTAATCTGGGGGCTTCTCTTCCCGTGCAGGAGTATCAGGAGGGCTGGGGCTCTGCACCCCTGCGTGCAGCTTTCCCACTCTCCACTGGCTGCAGAGAACAGCCACACAGTCAGGGAAAAAGCATTTGGCTGAACACCCCATCTGCCTGGTGTGCAAGTGAAAATAAGGCTTGTCCAATGGCCAGCTCCACCCAGAGCAGAAAATCAGACCCTTTGGCAGAGTGTTGCTACTGTAATGAAATTGAGCTGTGCTGAGACTGCCAGTCCTTGGAACAGGAAAGATTCCATGGGGTTCAGGGAAGTTTGGGGATGGATCTGTCAAAACTGCTGCTGTTTAGGGGACACCCATCACAGGAGAATGTTGCCCTGTGACTGAGCTCACCCTCAGCACTGAGTGCACCTCGTCTTCTCCCTGCAGCACATCCTTCCAGCACTGGAGCTGTGTGGTCTTGCAGAGCCATGATGAAGCTCCTGCCTGTTGTCCCTCTCCTCCTGCTTCTCCTGACAACACTGGAAGCCAGACCAAAATCTGCAGGTGAGCCCTGGCTGGTGGGGAGTGCATGGAGGGGAGAGAAACGAGAACATAGGGCAGTGGAGCTCTTGGAGGACAGTTTGCTGTGTTATGGGGGGGAGACATGATGCCTCTTCTTTGGGAGCATCCCCAGGGGAATGGAGGATCCCCCCAGTAGTAGGACACAAACTTCCTGGCCCCCAGCATGGTGGCTCTGGTGCTGCTTTCTCTGGGCACCTCCTCAGCTGTGACACAGCCCTGCCCAGGGCTTGTCACCCTCCAGGCCGTGGGCTCTGACCTAGGCAGGAGGCACAGTTGTGAGAGGAAGCCTCCTCCTTGCTTGACTCTCCAGGTGCAGGGGACAAAGCAAACCCAGAGGTACCAGCCTCTCTCCTCTCAGGACAGAGGGATCTAAATAAATTTTAGTTTAAAAACAGTGAAGGCCCCAAAATGTAGAAAGGAGCAGGTATGTCTCAGAGACCTTCAGAGCAATAGAGATTGGCATCATCCCAAAGGGACTCAAAGTGTTTCCTTATGATTAGGGCCCAATTCTCCCAGGCATGGGTGCACACAAGCCAAGCAAAATATGTTCATTGGCATTTCACTTGCTGAATGCTTTCCCAGTGTGCACTGGCAGTAGCTTCCTTATGCTCAAGAGAAGCTCTTTGGCTCAATCTCTGCCAATTGCGTGCCCTTAGCTCTGCTTTTTACTGTCTCATTTTCTGCCCTTAAAAAACACAACCACAACGACCCACAGCCAGGGGATGTCTCCTCAGCCTGTTGGCCCTGCTTCTGCTCTGCCGTCACCTTCTGTGGATTTACTGGGCAGTGGAAAGGTGCTGGTCTGTGGGGGCTGCCCAAACCTGCTCTCTCCATCTCTCATGAGCAGCCCCCAGCTGGCATGCAGAGATCTCTCTGCTCCCTGCAGGACTGAGCCTTCTCTTTGCCTTCTCCTTAGCACTGAAGTGCAGGACGGGTCCCCTGGATGTTGTGTTTGTGATCGACAGCTCCCGCAGCGTGCGCCCCTTTGAGTTCGAGACCATGCGGCGATTCATGATGGACATCATCGGCAACCTTGACGTGGGCCCCAACGCCACACGGGTGGGGGTGATCCAGTACTCCAGCCAGGTGCAAAACATCTTCTCCCTCAAGACCTTCTTCACACGGGCAGACATGGAGAGGGCCATCAACAGCATCGTCCCGCTGGCCCAGGGCACCATGACGGGTCTGGCCATCCAGTACGCCATGAACGTGGCCTTCACCACGCAGGAGGGCGCGCGCCCTCTGCACAAGAGGATCCCCCGCATCGCCATCATCGTGACGGACGGGCGGCCCCAGGACCGTGTCACCGAGGTGGCCACCCAGGCCCGGAACGCTGGCATCGAGATCTACGCCGTGGGAATCCAGCGGGCGGACATGAACTCTCTGCGGGCCATGGCCTCCCCACCGCTGGAGGAGCACGTCTTCCTGGTGGAGTCCTTTGAGCTCATCCAGCAGTTTGCCAAGCAGTTCCAGGACAGGCTTTGCGGTGGGTGAGAGCCGCTGCTGCGGAGCGGCAAGGGGTGCCCTGTTGTCTGCTCCTCACCCAGATCAGAAGGTGACCTTCAGAGAGGTGTTTCGGGTGGCTGCCCGTGCCAGAAGCAGGGTAGATGGGGAAGCAACCCTCCCAGTGAGGTGCCAGGACAGCACAGTGCACGGTGTCTGTGTCTGTGCACTGGAGATCAGTGGGTGAGCACTGGGGCAGGGCTGGGGCTGTGTGGGTTGTCACACTGGTGACAGGGACAGGCCATATGCCAGAGCCAGGGTCCCCATGTGTCTGGTGTGCCTGTGGGCCACCCTGATGCCCGTTCTGTCTTGCAGGGGTGGACATGTGTGTGGAGCGGGAGCACGGCTGCCAGCACAGCTGCATCAGCACCCCTGGCTCTTTCTACTGCGAGTGCAACCCAGGCTACAGGCTCAATGTGGATGGAAAGACCTGCTCCCGTAAAAACCCTTTTTATTATCTGAACTTTCACGGGGAGCTTGTAGTTACGGGTCCCATGCAGGGAAGCTGGAACACAGCAGAGGATTCAGGGAGCCTGTGTGCTCTGTTCACTGGGCCCGCTGCCTCCCGGGTCTGTAATGACTGCAGACATGCAGCACTGCTAAATCCTGGCCACCTCTCTGAGATGGGACACTCGTGATTTATTGGGCACAACCAGCTGCCTGTCAGCTGAGGGGTCTGGGCAGTGAGTACCAGAGGGTTCACATCCAAGCACCAAAGTGCACAGTGTTTCTTCCCTGGATTTTAGTGCAAAGCTGTGTTAGTTGGTCTGACCACCACACCAGGACTTTTCCTTCGTGTTTCACAGTGCTGGGAGCTGCACTGAAGCCCTGGAGCAGGCCTGCCCTGCTGCCCCAGGGAGGCTGGGACAGGAGGGTGATGGGTGTCCTGTTCCCCTGCAGCCATCGATGCGTGTGCAGACGGGAGACACGGCTGTCAGCACCACTGTGTCAGCGTGCGGGGCTCCTACTCGTGCCGCTGCCGGCCAGGCTACTACCTCAGCCAGAACAAGAGGAGCTGCACCAGTGAGAGACTGTCTCCTGCCCTGTCCCTTCTTCATTTGCTTCCCCTTCTCTCTCTCTTCTTGTCTTTTCCTTTCTGCCATTGCTCTCCTTGTCTCCCCAGTGATTGATTACTGCAGCTTCGGAAACCACAGCTGCCAGCACGAGTGCGTGAGCATCCCCAACGGGCACTACTGCCGCTGCCGCAGCGGCTTCACGCTCCAGCCTGACAGCAAGTCCTGCAGGGGTAGGTCCTGGTGTGCTGCAGGACACAGGCTGTGTGTATAGCATGTGCCTGTATGTCCTGCCCAGTCTCCAGGGAAGGGCTATTCCCAGAGCACCCTGAATGGGGATAACCCCTTGCCCTCGGCTTGTCTTCCAGCCACCGACCTCTGCAACGGGGTGGATCACGGCTGTGAGTTCAAGTGTGTGAGCACGGAGGGCTCCTACCACTGCATGTGCCCTGAGGGCCAGCAGCTCCAGGCCGATGGCAAGACATGCAGCAGTGAGTACTGTCATTCTCCTTATCTGGGCCCTGTGCTCCTGGAGAGAACTCACCTGAAACTGGCCTGGGGAGCTCTGTCCCCACATGGGACTCTAAGCCAGGCTGGAAGAGGATGGAGAGCTGGCTGTGGTTGGGGGACCACCCTGGCCAAGGGGATGGGTGCTTGTGTCCTCAGAGACATGGCCCAGAAGATGCAGCAGCTTTAAAGAAAGGTTCAGGAGAAGAGAAAACTAGGAAAAACTTTCACAGGGTGTTTGGGATGTCAGTGGAGGTTTTTGGGCTGAATCCCTTGGGCATAGTCTGCTCTCCCTCCCAGCTGCAGTTCCAGGGTGTTCCCGCCATGTCCCGAAGCCCCAAAGCCCAGCCCCAGGCTCCTTCACTCTGCCAGTGGCCATGGCCAGGCTGCTCCTCTCTCACCTTCCCCTGTGCCTGCAGAGTGTGGAGCTGGGCACGTCGACCTTGTGATGGTGATCGATGGCTCCAAGAGCGTCCGGCCCCAGAACTTTGAGCTGGTGAAGCAGTTTGTGAACCGTATTGTGGACCTGCTGGAGGTGTCCCCCCACGGCACACGGGTGGGATTGGTGCAGTACTCCAGCCGCGTGCGCACCGAGTTCCCCCTCAACAAGTACCACAGCGCTGATGAGATCAAGAAGGCGGTGATGGATGTGGAGTACATGGAGAAGGGCACCATGACAGGCCTTGCCCTCAAGCACATGGTGGAGCACAGCTTCTCTGAGCTGGAAGGTGCCAGGCCTCTCTCCCACAACATCCCCAGAATCGGGCTGGTCTTCACAGATGGACGCTCCCAGGATGACATCTCTGAATGGGCCAGGAGAGCAAAGGAATCAGGTGCAGGAGGGTTGGGAACCCTGAATTGCAGTGTTTTGGGCATCCTGGGATGGCTCCTTGGAGTGGCTGTCTCACGGAACAGCTGAGCTCTGGGGAGCTGCATCCCCAAGCAGACGTGCTGTGTCATGGGGTGCCCTGAGCAGCATCCTTCATGCAGCAGCCTGCACCAGCACGGTGCTGCCATACTCCTGCCTGTCCTTCCCAAATTCCTGCTGTATATTTGGGAAGCCCAGAGAAAATCCTGCATCCTTGGCTTTGCTCCCTCTGGCCTTGGGGCAGCTTGCTGGGGGGTGGCCAGTGCAGTGCTCAGGATCTGTCCTTGCCACACAGGGATTGTCATGTTTGCCGTGGGTGTTGGAAAAGCTGTGGAAGAAGAGCTGAGAGCCATCGCCTCTGAGCCAGTGGAGCAGCACTTCTCCTATTCAGCAGACTTCACCACCATGACCCACCTGGTGGAGAACTTCTCCCTGAATATCTGCCCAGGTGGGTGTTCCTGACCACACCAGGGGACTTGACCCCAAGCCAGGGAAGGTCCTTCTGTCCCCACAGAGCCAGTGGGGTGGTTTGTGTGTCTGCCACCCTATGGCAAGTACCCCAAGGCTGAGCTGGGCAGTTGTGAGCCTAGGCTGTCTCAGGATCTCTCCAGGCTGCTGTGGGTATAGATGTGGGTCTCTGGGAGGGATTTGGAAGAGGAAGAGGTGAAGCTGGGGGAATTAATAAAAAATCAAAATACAAAAGTATTAATGTGAGCAGCCACCCCTGTGCCATGGCATGGGCAGAATTTGGGAGTGGCACCCTGCCTTGTGGGATGCTCTGGTGGCCTGTGTACCTTGCTCAGACCTGTGCTTCTGCTGCAGCCAGGTGCAGGGTTACTGTGAGGGTCTCCCTGCCCTGGGGTGGGCTGGGGCTCCCCAGTGCCCTTGAGACCCCCACAGGGCTGCAGAGATGGAGTCAACGTGCCCCCTGCCACCCCAGCGTGAAGACAAAGTCATGCTCAGCACCGGCTGTCCTTGGCACACTGTGACCACACGTGTGACAGCTCTGTGGGATGCCTGGCAGAGAGCTGCTGGATCAGCAGGGCAGCCTGGCAGAAAGCAGAGAGGCTGAAAAAAGAGGGCAAAATGGTGGGGAGAGCCCTGAGCCCTGGTGGGTGGCTGCAGGGACAAGGAACCTGTCTGGGAGCAAGGGAGAGCGGTCCCTGGTCTGGCTGCAGCCAAACCCCCACTTTCACAGAGGAGGGCAAAGGGGAGACGGAGATCCGCAGCCCGTGTGAGTGTGAGGCGCTGGTGCAGTTCCAGACGAACACCGTGGCCATCCTGCAGAGCCTGACCGAGAAAAATATCCTTTGGGGTGATGCCTGGGCTTGTCAGGGTTCAGAACAGCTGAGGACAGAGCACACATGGGGGAGGGAGGGGTAGATAAATGGGAGTGGGGAGAATTTTAGAATTAATTTAGAATTTCGAGGGGATAAAGTGCTTTGCCCAGCAGACTGTCTGGCTCATGCTGTTTCCTTAGCACATTCACTTGCTCAGATGACAGCCAGACTCGAAGACTTGGAAAAGCAGATTGCCAACAAGAAGTGATCCTGGCAGAGGGCTGCAGTGCTCGGCGGGGCACGGGGATGGATGTACAGTAACTACACGACATTGTTATTGCTAGGTTATCGTAAAGCATCAGTGTTTGTTCTTGTATTGCAAAGTCCCCAGGGGGGTGTGGACTGTATTTAAAAAACCCAAAAATCCTAAAAACACACAAAAAGGAACTTGAACAAAGGCCCTGCTGCAAAGCCAAGGGGTTCAGTTGTTCCTTGGCAGGTCTGGGGTGAGGAGGAGGAACTCTGTGGGCATTGGACAGACATGATACCTGGTGTCCCCCAGAGTGACTGGGATGGCACAATCCCCCTGGACTCTGGCAGGCTGCTTTGCAAGAGAAAAAACCTACAGTGGTGTCACCCTGAGAGCTCCTGTTGTCTCAGCATCTGCTACCAAGTGATGGGGCAAGGACAGCTGGGTGGTGCAGGCAGCACAGGGGATGCCTGATGCCCATCTGGCTCCCAGTGTGGTGCCCAGGTGGGCTCCCATGGGAAGGAATTCTTAGATCCCCTTGCCCTGGTTTGGCAGAATAGTTTGGAAATTGGTATTAATCTTGTTTGGTTTTATAATCACATAGCAAAATGGTAATTATTCTTTCTATCAATATCTATGTGTGTGTGTATATATATATATGTATATTTAATTCTGAGAGCGGGGTAGTGCTATTTTTAAACTCTTGTTTTATATAAAGGAATTTCTATCCTGACAATAAACACCCTGAAGATTTGTATGACATGTCCCTCTCCTTTCAGCTGGGCTGCAGGGTGACTTCTCTGTGTCAGAAGTGGCTTTTGCAGCAGCTCCTGTCCCCAGGATCCAGAAATCCTTTGGGAAAGTCTTTGTTCTGTGGCACCCCAGGGTGCTGCAGGCCTGGCCTCAGCTGGAGGTGTGGCACGGACACGGTGTCCCCATGGGCAGGATTTGCTTTGGAGCCTCTGCTTGGAGCTGAGCTGGGCACAGGGCCACAGCCTGGGCAAGGTGCCCACTGCAGCTGCTCTGGGGTGGGTGCTGAGGCAAAGGGACACCTGAGATCTGATCCTGAGGGATCCCTGCAGGCTTCACAAAGAACCACTGCTGACAGCAGGACTCTGCCCAGGGCAGTCTCCAGTCTCTTGATTTTTATCTCTCAGCACAAGAGTGCATTTGGTTCCTTTCAGGGGGTAACACAAAATTCCCCTCTGCTCCCCATGAAGCTGCAGCCCCACCCAGGACCCAGCCCTGCCTCCAGCTCTGGGGTCCTGAGCACAGGAAGGACCTGGAGCTGTTGGAGAGAGTGCAGAAGAGGCCATGGGGGTGCAGCAAGGGCTGGAGCCCCTCTGCTCTGGGGAAAGGCTGAAGGAGTTGGGGATGCTCAGCCTGGAGAAGAGAGGGCCATGGGGAGGCCTCACTGCAGCCATGCAGGACTTGAAGGGTCCCATAGGAAAGATGGGGACAGAGTGTTCAACAGGGTCTGTGGTGGGAGGAGAAGGGGAGATGGCTTTTAAATGCAGGAGGCCAATTTGGGTTAAAAGGAGGCTGTTTTTTTATATTGAGGATGGTGAGGCACAAGCCCAGGCTGTACACAGAAGCTGTGGATGCTCCATCCCTGAGAACAGGGCAGACAGGACTCTGAGTAACCTGGTCTGAGGGGAGGTAGCTCAGGTTTGAATAAGATGATCTTCAGGGTCCATTCCAAGGCAAACCATTCAGGATGGTCCCCATGGCACACAGCTGAGCGGGTTTGTCCCTGAATTCCTGTGTGTTATCACTGCACACAAAGTGCTCCAGCTGAAACTTTGTTCTCCCTTTGAGCAAAGAGCACAAAATAACCATTGACCCTTGTGTCACCCCACCCTGCACCCTGCTCCGAGAGCATCTCTGTCACCCTCCTTGTCACCAGGTCCCTGACACTGTTGTCAGTCCCGCCTTCTCCCTGTGGCCTGGACCTTGCCATCCACCCCTGCAGCGTGCTCACTTCTGTCCCAGTGAAGGTACAGTGCCATTCCATGGAGGTGGAGACCCCTGGGCTTCCTGGGTGGGCTGGAGCTCTGTGGGGATGTGTGGGACAGGGCCCCAGCTCCGAGGCTTTGCTCCCGACGCAGGCTGTCCCAGACAGAGCGGAGGAGATGGAAATCGATGTGAAGATTGATAGAGAAGAGAGTATGGCTATAGATGGAGAGGAGAATGGAGAGGAAGAGATGGAGGTGGCTGTGGAGGAGACAAAGGAAGAGATGGAGGAGGAAATGGAAGATGATGTTGAAGACATGGAAGTGGATGAGAAAGGTGAGGAGGAGGAGATGTTCTTGGGACAAAGATGGACCCCAGCAGCAGGACAGGCAGAGTGGGTCCCCCGCTGCCAGGCTGGGGCTGGGCTGGGTGGCTCTGCTCAGGGACACAGTGCAGGGGGGGCCTGGCAGCACAAGCACCACCCCCAGCCTGCCCTGTGCTTGCTTTGGGCCACGCTTTGGGTGCCACTGCCTGGGGCTCAGCCCTCAGCCCCAGCCAGGCTCAGTGCTGGCAGCAGAATCACGCTCTGCCAGTGTGTCCCAGCCTGGGGGCACAGGGAACAGCCCTCTGTGCCTGACTGGAGTGACCGTGTCACTTGCTTCCAGCACTGGCAGAGATGCCAGGCAGGGATGCCACCCTTCTGGATATATGCAGTGTTCTTCAGTAGTCTTCTGTATATACATTTTGGAGTGTTGTTGTCTTTTGTAAATATGTTTCATGCATGGTTGTTATATAGGTTCTTATGTAAATACATTTTATAGTTGCTGTTATAGGGATTCTTACAATTTAAATAGGGGATGTAGTTCACTGTTGTTTCTGCTGTTCCGTAAATAAACAGTCTTTATTTTTCACACCCCAGCTCTCTCTCCATTTGCTTTGGGCACAGGCAGCATGTGCAGAGTTGTGGTTTCCTCTTGCTCTGAGCTCCCCGGGCTGGAGATGTCTGGGAGTGCCGGGTTGGGGGTACCTGTGCACAGAGCAGGTCCCACTTAGAGGTCTGTACACACTTCGGATCTGTAGAGGCAGATCCTACAGGACCCTTTCCATGGGATTACATTGGAGCAGGGCCCAGCCTGAGGTCCTGCAGGGCCTCATCAGTGACACTTCACTAGGTGGCACCAGACACCAGTGCTAGGAGGCTGGGCTGGGCTGCGGGCACCCTCCTCTCTTCTCCTGGGCACCCCGAGCCGGCCTGGAGCTGAGGGGAACCAGGGAGGGAGGCAGGGATGGATGGATGGATGGATGGATGGATGGATGGATGGATGGATGATGCATGGATGGATGATGGATGGATGGATGGATGGATGATGGATGGATGGATGGATGGATGATGGATGGATGGATGGATGATGCATGGATGGATGATGGATGGATGGATGATGGATGGATGGATGGATGGATGGATGATGGATGGATGGATGGATGATGGATGGATGGATGGATGATGGATAGATGGATGGATGGATGATGGATGGATGAATGGATGGATGGATGATGGATGGATGGATCTCATCATCAGGCTGAAAGCTTTGCATCACCTGGTGGGGGACTGGGGCTGCTTTGCAGGGCACAAGCTGTTCATGGGGTGCTTTGCGTACCTGGGTGAGGCTGGGGGATCAGGGGTGCTGGTGTCCCTCCTTTCCCCTCCTGGGGAATACAAACTGCAGAGCCTCGCTCTGGCTGGGAAATGCAGCATCAGCCACAATACCCTCAAGCATCGCACAACTGGGGCCTTGCAACTTTGGAAGGAGGGACACAAAGTGGTTTTCATGGAGAAGAGCATGAGCCATGTAGGATGGGGACTGCTCTGAGGGGTGCTGGGGCAACAGGTGCTGCACAGGTAATAGAATGCAACATGAGGACTGCAGGCAATCCTGTGCCCAGAAATGCTGGGTCCTGCTTATTCTATGGGAGTTGCAACAAAAAGAGTTCACACTTTCCTCCCTGCTGTGAATAAAGCTCTATAGAATGTTCTTCAGGTGGATTTCTTTCCCCCACCCCCATCTTCTCTTCAGCTTAATCCAAGCCTTGGTCCTTGATCTTTTCTCCTCCCTTGGAGACATAGGTCCAAGCACTACCTCAGCCAGATTCTGGCACCAGCTGGGAGCACAGCATTGTCCTCTTCAGCCCCAGCAGCAGCTGAATGGCAATGGATTGCTTAAAAATTAATCCAGCGCTTGTATTTCTCATTCAACGTGCTACATTGTTGGTGCACAGCCCAGAAAATCTTTTTGGGTTGGCTATATTTTCTGCACGTTATTTAATAAATGACTTCACAAAGAGCTAAATGCAGCCACAGAGTCAACAGGGAAATTGGGCAATGATTAACAGACACCGGGTTAGTTGAGGTTAGTTGAGTTAATGGGGCCCGTTGCAACTTGAGAATGGAAGTCTGAACAGTAAAGTGTACAGTGAGACCCACCAAGCCCTGGATGGAAAGTGGCAGCTCCAGGGGCTGGGTCACTCCAGTTCTGGGGGGCTCAGGAGGTGCACAGAGCATGTAGAGGTGATACTGGGCTTTTGCTGCTCTTTGTCACTGCCTGGTTGCGAGATCAGGGGCTGCTCTCTGCAGGACTGGGGGAAGTTGGCTGTGGGAGCCTTGACCTCCCCAGGCATTCCCAGAGCCTGTTTCCAGGACAGCTTGGGTTTCTGCCAGCCCCAGAAGTCCTACAGAAATGTTTCAGGAACCCCTTACACAAGCTGAGGGGAACATTGACTAATTGGTGGGAAATGGAGTAACTTCCCAATTGCCCAAGGGTACCTAAAGAAAACAGATTTGCCTGGAGGCCAGGGCAGGGTTACAACTTCCTTGGGAGGGAGAAACGGGTGGTGGGACCTTTGCCATCCAAACAAGGAATACAGTCCCTAATCCCTACAGCCATCAAGAGTTAGGGCTCAATCAAGTTGTCCTTGTGCTACACCATGGCTGATGGCAGGTCTGTAAGGAGTGGATTATCCTACCCCAGAGAGGTCAGCCACTTTCTGCCAGCACCAACCTGCTTCCTATATGACAGAAGCCACCCAGAGAAGATACTGGGGGTCAGGTGACCCCCCACCAGAGCTTGAGGAAGACTCACCTTTGGCTAAGCCAAAGCTGCTTTCCCTACACCGACTTATACTCCCATGGGGCAGGAGTAAGGAGGATTTGGGGCTGGGGCAAGTTACCTCTGGGAAAAAGAAATTGAAGGATCATCCCTGGGAAGGCACAGGCAGCCTCCTGCTGATTTGGATCATGCTGTAAGGTTTGGTTTGCAGGACCATATGCAAGCAAAGCACAAAGGGAAACCCATTTAACAGACCCTCAGAAAGGAACATGGTCCCCACAAGGGTTTCTCCTGAAAAAGGGTATGTGGAGAAGATACCTGCCCAGGAGAAAGGAGCTCCACTGCCTCCAGCCTTTCAGGGTGGACAAAGCCCTGGCTCATCTCCTCTTGGCTTGTCCCTCAGCCCCAGGTGTGGCTGCAGGAGTCAGTTGTGCAGTGGAACAGCTGCTTTTTTGAGCAATCGAACAATCACATTTGAATCTTGCGCAAAAGGCTCTTCTGGAAAACACAATGCAACAGGCAGAGGAAAGTGGTACAAACATTGGCAGGTGCCAGCCCTGTTCCCCACCCCCTTCCTCCCCAAGGTTTAAATGTTGGTGTGCCCCACCTCTCACAGCTCTCAGGGACACGGCAGGATGAAGACAGTGGCCGCCCTCCTCCTGGTGGGGATGCTCATCCTCTGGGCAGAGCTGCCAACAGGTAGGAGATATCCCGGGATAAGGTACGGGCAGGAAAAGCTCAGGGGCTGGGAAGGAGCCACGTTTACATGGATCCTGTGGGAGGGGAGGGGAGAGGAGAGGGGTGAGCTTGCTGGGCAGCATCTCCCCAGTGTCCCTCAGCTGCCCTGGAGCAAACCAGTCCCTCCTCTTGCAGGCAGTGCCTGGTCCTGTCCCCCCGTCCGCTTCACCTGCGCCCTGCACAACCCGCGGAACCAGTGCCTCTTGGACCGGCACTGCCCCCGCGGCAAGAAGTGCTGCCGCTCCTTCTGTGGGAAGAAGTGCTTCTCCAGACCATCTTCCATCTCCTATGGTAGGAGCTCAGGAACATCCCGGGAGCTGATGAGGTGGCTGTGGGCAGGAGCCCTGTCCAGCTGCCAGAGCCCCCGTCAGGCTGGTGGGGTGGCTGGTGGACAGACATGTGGGCTGGGGACAACACCAGACACAACCTCTTTCTTTCTCTCCCTTTCCCAGTGTGAGCTCCAGCTTCCAGGATAGACTGAGGGTCATCTCAGCATTCCCATCCCACCTCAGCTCCAGGATCCCTCTGTGACAGCTGCTGCACAGCGCTCTGTGCCACCTCCTTCCCTCTCCCTCTGTTCCCCCACTGCTCTTCTAACAAATAAAAGAGGCTTTTCCCAGGGGTGCTTGTGATGTGTGACTCCTTTCCCCATGTCCTCCCTCCTCTCTTCATCCTGGCACACAGTCCCACTGCTGCTTTCACCCCAGAATTTCTGCCAGGGGAAGAGGATGAGAACGGTCTGGCTACACACCTGCAGCATGGTTAGGGGCTGGCTTGGGGGAGAAAATCCATCCAGAGGCACACAACCTCCAGGAGAAGAGAGCAATGGGAAAGGACTGGAACAAAACATGACAGGTTGCTTTAGGAAGGCTGGAAGGCTGCAAGGGGCCCTGGAGCCTCCAGGCCCCTCCCAGCTGGACAGGGCTCTGGAAGGGAACAGACCCTGCCTGCCCAGGGGGATACAGAAGGCAGTTTCCCCATGAATACCTTACTTGGGGCACATCTGGAGAGCAGAGGAGGGGGTTACACAGACCCAAACCCCACATGGTGCTGAACCCCTCACTGAACCTGAGCTGGTGGGGAAAATTCAGCTGAAGAATATTGCCTGGGAAAGCCTCAAGCCAGGGCAATAAAATCATAGCTCCAAGTGGTTCTTGTAATTTTTGTACAGCTGAGTGCTGGGGACAAAAATTCAGGAAATGCCAAGAGACATCAGCAGAAGAGAGAGTTTGCAGCCCGAGGGACCTGCTGGCCTCTGTGTAGGGGCAGAACCAGGCAGTGCCACCACCCCCTGCAGGGACAGAGCATCACCCAGCCTAATGCCCCCAGCCCATTGCTGATGCCAGGCTCGCTGAGAAGGTCCCATTCTCAACAACCAGTCCCAGCCCAGACTGAGGGAAGAGCTTGGTCTGTCTGCACACACTGAGGGGAGCAGAGAGGAGCTGCTGCTGTGTAAGAGCTGATCCCCACGGCCAGGCACCAGCACAGCAATATGGAGAGCAGCACCAGCCAGCCAGGTTTTAAATGGCCTGCAAACACAGCGGGATGAAGACTCTGTCTGTGGGATTGACACCTTGCATGGTCCATGGGAGATGCTGGAAGCTTCCCGGCCGAGACTGGGGAGAGCATCTGCTGGAGTGAGTCCTTCTGGTTCACATCTGCGTAGGTGACCTCTTCTCTTGGGAGGAACTAGAAGGAGGCAAAGACTCAGAAATGACTCTGACTGAGAAGGAGGAAGTTCTATGGTGAAAAATCCCAACTCTTTGCTTAGCCTGGCCACGGGAGGGCAGAGAGAACAGGAGAGTTTATGCAGAGCTGGGGAGGCTGAAAACGCCAGGTGATCCAGCAGGGACAGGCAAAACAAGAACTGAGAGCTCATCAGCCAAACTCAGTGTAAAATCAGACATTGCTTCTCGCCAGTGTAGTGTCCTTGCAGGGGAAAACTCTCCCTGACAGCAGCCCAGCCCTGGTGAGCTGTGCCACACAAGCCGTGGGGCTGAGGAGGCTGAGCCCCAGCCATCCCCACATCCCGGCACGGGGCAGAGCAGCTGGATTACACCTCCCACAGATCACAGCCCTCCTTCTCCATCAGCACCAGCTATTATCAGCTGCTATTAAGCAGGCATTTCCATACAGCTGGCTAATTTGATAATGCTGCAATTATCTTGGTTTGTTAACAAGATTAAATTGCTAATTGGTCTGATTAAGCACAGAGCTCCAGGCATGGGGTGCCTCTCAGCTGGCCCTGCATAACCCGATGGATGCCGTGCCCAGGGCAGCAGCTCCTCTGCAGAGACAAGGAAATGGTAGGAAGGGTTCATCCTCCCAAAACCTGCTGCCTGAGGCCTCCAGATCTCCCCGTGAGAGGTCCCCCTTCCTGCTCTGAGACAGCTTTGTTCATGTCACCACTGTCACCCAGCTGCTGGCCCAGGAAGGCAGCAGGAGGTGGCTTTGAGCCAGAGGGTGCTCTGGGGACATCCAGTCTGTCTCTGTCCTGCTGCTTTCTGTTTTGGAGCCCTGCGAATCAGAAATCCCTGAAGTAACTGTGCCTCCACCTGCAGCTGTGTCAACAAATCCTCTCCCAGGCACAGGTCCCTGCCTCCTGTCCACAGCATTTCCAGCTATCACTGCCTGTGCTGGGGAGCTCCCAGCACTGGATTAGACCCATCTCTACCCCTTCTGAAGTAGCACCCACTGGGAGGAGCACCAAAACACACAGGTCAGGATCACTGATTGTGGTCAGCTCCTGGCAGCGTGCATTGGCTGAAATCCTTTGATTCATGTTTCTGGAGAGGAAAAGACAGTGGGAAAAGCAGTGAGTGCTGTGTCAGAGGAATTCTTCCCACATCACCTGTTTCCCCAAGGCCAGAGCAGTCTGGAGATGAAGGTGTTCATTTCCTCTGCCTGGGTGCTCAGGACTCACTACTTCTCCTGGGACAGGTCTGGTGCTGGGAAAGTGGGAAAAGGCTGCAGTCAAGGGCCCAGCTTTGAGTTAGAAACATCCATCATGGCACGTCACAGCAGCAGCACCACTGCAGAGCAGGCCAGGGGTCTGACTTACTCCATCTTCCCTCAAAGCAAAGGTTTTCAGGCCAGTCACTTTTGGAAAATTCCCAAAGGAAACATCCAACACTCCCCAGCATCCCAGGGGATGGAATCCAGAGTGTGTCCCCGAGGATCCTGCAGCACCACAGAGCATCCTTGCTCCACGCAATGTCCTTTGTTCCACTCTGAAATGTGCACAGGACAGAGGATGGAGAAGTCAGGTCTCACCCACAGCACTGCAGAACATCTTTAATATTTTCCTGGAGCCTCCCTCTGCATATGTTATGGTCTGGCTCGGAAGACTGGGTGGTTGGGGTCTGAATACAGAACAGTTTGGTGCTCAATGGTGATGTAAGACCTTTTCAAGAGATGATTCAAACCAGCCTAATAAGAATTACTACAGCTTTGACAGCCTTTGAAAGGGGAGGGTTATTTAGCTAGTCTGGGCTAGGAGTGGGAATCTGTAGTCCCAGCAGGATCTCAGCAATCACATCAGTTCCAGAGGAGAAAATACCCTGGGCAGAGCAGATCCACTCAGCAGCAGCTCTGCCCGTGGTCAGGAGCTAGGCACAGCCCTCATCATTCCTGCTGAGGAGCAGCAATATTCCAGGAGGGAAAAGGAGTCAATAGCATTCTGCTCCCCACCATAAAAGAAATAGATACACACCTCTGCAGGAAAACAAACCATCCTCACATTTAAAGGTCAACAAATGTATGAATTCACTCTGTGCTTTCTTCTGTGGGATGGTTTATACAAACTCAGCCCCTCACCTGGACCTAGAGCCTCTCCAGGGGCAGGGAGAGAGTGATCTGGGCCAGAGCTGTCTCACACCAGCTGATGCCCTCCAGCATTCTCTTTCTGAAGACACAGGGGTGCTTTGTCTCACACTGCCGGGATACACCAGAAACCTTTCCCAGTGCCCTCCCACCCTTGCCAGTGAGCAGGACACCAGTTCCCACCGTGCTGGGAGGGCAGGGGGGAATCCTGGAATTACATAGTGGAGGGAGGCAGTGTCTGCCACCAGGGCACGTTTGAGAGCAGGGATGGAAGCTGTCCCTTCTGCCTGGCTCTGGCACATCACCCCGGCTGTGCACTGCCCCCAGCCCCCTGCATGGTGGGGAGTCCCAGGGCGGTGGGGGCTGCCAGGGGATGGAACCACAGCTGAGGGATGCCAGAGCAGCCCGTTGTCATTTCTCTCCTGCCTAAAGAGCTGCCAAAGCTCACAAGCTGCTTGTGACAAAGGCCTTCAGTCTGGCAGGGAACAGCTCTGCCTGCCCCAGCCAAGAGGCAGCAGAGCTGTGCTGAGCTGCTTGGCTCCATCCCCCCTCCATCCTACCAGGAATCCTCAGCAGGCTGCTCTTTGCTGCAGCTGCACAAGGTTGTGCACACCCAGGAAGCCTTTCAAATGCTGCCAGGACTTCCCTGAGCCAGGGAGCCAAAAGGAAGGCAAAAAAGATGAGGCACTGACAGCATCCTGTAGCTGAGGGAGATCCCTACATGCCAGCAATCCTTTTCCCCATGCAGAAAGAGAGGAAAGGAGACATCTCTGTCCTCTGCAGTAGGAAATGTGGCCATGCCACACTGCATGAAGACACATGGGGGCTCAGCAGGAGGCTGGCAGGGCGGCTGGGCCTCCTTGTGTCCCACGGCAGGCAGGGCAGCTGGGCTCCATCATCCCTGCCCTCGCAGCAGCCCCATCTCTCAGCTGGGCACTCACCCCACAGTCCCTCACAGAGGCTGGTGTCTGTGTTCAGCCAAGCAGCTGGGATGTTCCACAAATAACAGCTCTGGCAAAGGCTGGTGGAACACTCAGAGACTCACATGAAGCAGTTTGCAGGGAGGAAAGCAGCTCCCATGGATGCCAGCCCTGCACCAGCCCCTGCTCACACATCCAGTTGCAGCACAGATCCCACCTTGTGGCCCACACACGGTGGTAAACTCACCATCACTCCCAAATCCACCAGCACAGGAACAAAGGTACCTGCACACCCCTCCCAAATGGGGCTGCTCACCTGCAGAGAGCCCCTCCCAGCTGAAACCAGTGCTTCCCTACAGCTAAGTGTTCTGGAAGAGGAGGGAGTGCTATCTATGCTCTAGGGCTGCCCAATGAGCTTCTCTCTCCCCCAGCTCCAGCCGTGGAGGGGAAACCATTTCCCAGCTCCTTCAGGTCCCACCAGCAGCGTTGGGGGAATTCCTGTCTCTTCAGCCCTGCCTGTGCCAAGGCACACACAGATGCTCCTTTCCCTGACATTATGTAGGTTAATAACATGCAATGTGATGGCAAGACACAGGGAACCGCAACGCAATGTCAATATTTAGCTTTTACACATTTGGCTAATTAGGAAGCAACCTGTGATTCCCTGAGAAGGAGGCAGGGCTGCCTCGCCCCTCTCCCTCCCCTCCTGTATGTTCCCCGTTCAGATGGGATAAACGTCAGCTCCCTATTTCTGGAGTTCGCTGGTCGCAAACGGTCTGTCCCAAAATGCTATTCCCAGGCAGTGGATGTCAGAAATCATTATACTAAATAAAGCTTCATGAATGATTCATGAGGCTGGATTTCACATTAATCAGGGAG